AAGTTTCGATCATCCATTCCATGCATTAAATTCGTCATTCACTAGACTGTCTGATATTTCTTCATGGTTTTATTGAGCCCCATTTGTGGACGAGTGTTTGCGGAGACGAAGATAGCGCAGACAAAGATTTGCGGACGAAGATTTGCGGACGAAGATTTGCGGACGAAGATTTGATTGGACGAAGAAATGCGTGGACGAAAAATGCGGACGAAAATTTGCGGACGAAGATTTGCGGACGAAGATTTGCGGACGAAGATTTGCGGACGAAGATTTGCGGACGAAGATTTGCGGGGACGAAGATTTGCGTGGACGAAGAAATGCGGACGAAGATTTGCGTAGACGAAGAAATGCGTGGACGAAAAAATGCGGACGAAGATTTGCGGACGAAGATTTGCGAGGACGAAGATTTGCGGACGAAGATATGCGCAGACGAAGATTTGCGTGGACGAAGAAATGCGGACGAAGATTTGCGTAGACGAAGAAATGCGTGGACGAAAAAATGCTTGACGAAGAAATGCGCCGACGAAGAAATGCGGATACGAAGAAATGCGCTACGAATTTTTGCACCTACGAAGAAATGCGAGACGAAGTAATGCGACACGAATAAATGCGCCGACGAAGATTTGCGGACGAAGAAATGCGGACGAAATATTGCGCGACGAAGAAATGCCATACGAAGATTTGTCCGGTTACGCCATTAGTGGTGTCAATTTCAGAAAACGTGTGTCCAACTTCCGTCCAATGTCCAATACTTACGTCGACTGTCCGTCCAAAAATGTCCAAACCAGCCATTTGTCTAAAGATGTCCGACACCTACGCAATAGTTTACATTCAACACTGTTATTTAATTTGCTTTTCATGTACCATTACCAGCTCAAAAGTGTTAATCATATCGAAAGCTGAGTTTTCTAATAGCCAATCAATGTTAAACACGATTACTTTATAAAAATAATGAGGTGTAGCAAGTGATTGTCCAAAGTTGTTCAAAGCCTGCTGTCATTGTCCAACCGAATTCCGAATTGGACATTGGACAAAATCGGAATTCCGAGGATTCAAGTTCCGATTGACACCACTTATATCCATGTGCCAGAGTTGAGGTGCTGCTGCACGTGCGCACGTGCAGGGGTCGATTCCAGATCTCGAGAACGGCTGGACCGATGGCGCTCAAATTTGGTACATGGTTAGGGACCGGTTAGGAGAGTGCCGTGCAAAAGTCTGTTGGGACTCATTTTGCACGTGCGCACGTGCAGGGTGCCGCCTCCAGATCTCGAGAACGGCTGGGCCGATTGTGCTCAAATTTGGCACATCGCTAGAGACCGGTTAGTAGGGTGCCGTGCACAACTCAGTTGGAGGTACCCCCTCGCAATTTCGCACGTGCAAGGCTCACCCTCTCGCTCGCTCCGGTAGTCGCTCGAAAAGGCGTTATACTGGCTTTACTTTCGTAATGCAGCCTAATGTATAAAGGCAGGTTTTAGGGTTGGACATGCCCCCGAACCTGCGACCGTATTAGAGACCATATAGTGCGGGGGCCTGTCCCCCTGAAAGTGACCAGCGCACACTGCAAGGCTGGCGCAGCGATTAAGTCAACATATCCATCCACGACCACTTCCCGTCATGGCTCCTATGCCAACGAGCATGCAGGCAGTCGAGGGTGCCTGCTTTGCGGGAACATTTTTTTCTGAATTGCATAGTAATTGTGCTCTTGATAGCCCTGAGCTCCTTCTGTGTTTTTTTTTTAACTCCAACTGCTGCAGACCGCTGCTCCAGCGCGGTTCTTTAGGAGCGGGTTGGATGTCACATTTCGAATGGGGAGACGTTACTGCGGACTTCGGAACTTCCAAATGGCTTTATTAAGCGGAGTACGTGGATTTATTAAGCGGATTTGCTAACTATAGGTATCTATGGGGAAAATCCGTGAACAGCTCAAGCGGCCACAGTTAGGCGGCTGGATTTACTATCCGTGGATTTATTAAGCGGATTCCACTGTATTATAGTTCGTTTTTTTTCAAAAGGACGCTGGCTCCAAGTATGTTTTTTGAACAAGCACGTGTTTTAGCGAGCAAAAGGAGCAAAAACTGAACCTAAGAAAATCGAACGTCGACTAATTTTAACATGTGATTTCTTCCCGATAATTTCCATATGTGCGTTTTGGAACCAGATATGAGAACAGTGGTGACGTCATGTTGTCGAACATGTATTGCAATGTAACGTATAACTATCATGGACGGGACCGCTTACTCGATTATAAGCTCGGCAACAGTGAAAAACTAAGTTTCACCCAAATTCGTTGACACTTGTCCCATTGCACGGACATTTGGGTGCCTGCTGCCACCAGTGACGTCATCATAGTATGTTCCTTCTTAAGAAACAATTTCCAGCTACTTACCGTGCACAATTTGAAATCGAGTATTTTTTCGGTAAGAAATTCTTGGCCGGACACTGAAGCTGCCAAAACTCACGTGACAGCTTCGATATTGAACTTTGAGCCAGCGTCCTTTTGAAAAAAACGAACTACCTATAGCAGCCTTATTTTAGGATCGACAAGCTTCATAACGCCAGGTTGTTTGAAAACTAGGGAGCAATTTTCGTTAGAATCGTTTTCTCTAATAAAAAACAACCTTCCTCTCTCCAATCCTCATATAAATAAGTATACATTTTATGTTGACTGTTAACATTACCAGTTTGAGCAAGGGAAAGTGTTGTCTACAGGAATGCCTATGAAGGACACTTTGAATAGTTTGTTCAGAATAAATTATGATACGATGCTTGTCGTGGAATATCCCCATGTAGAACAGCGTTTCAGCAACTGTAGGTAAGCATTAATCATTATCGTGTTTATGCATACCTACACTTCTGAAGTGTGTGCATTAACACGGCGACTGTAACACGTATGATCGGTGACACAGACGCAAGACATGGAAAGCTGCAAAACTCGTTTATTACGGAGCGAGCGAAGCGAGCGTAGTCTTTCCTTAGATTAACGGAAATTTCTGATTATGAGCGGCCGGCCGGCCGGCCGGCCGTGGTCACGCTTTTGCGAGGCTTATATCTCAGCAACCACTTGACCGATTTACATGCGGTAATTTTTGTAGGGTAGCTTCATTCCTTCTACCAAGTATTGCACTATTCCCGATGCATGTGGGTGACCCCTTATGCACGTGCCACGTGCAAAACGAAGAGGTGTCACTTTTGCAATTGTTGCAATATCTCGGTAACTACTGGGCCGATTGCGCTGAGAGTTGGCATGTAGGTAGGCACCCACTAGGCAATGCATATCCATGTGCCAGAGTTGGGGTGCTGCTGCACGTGCGCACGTGCAGGGGTCGTTTCCAGATCTCGAGAACGGCTGGACCGATTGCGCTCAAATTTGGTACACGGTTACGGAGCAGTTAGTAGGGTGCCGTGCACACTGCACAAGTCAGTTGGGACCCATTTTGCACGTGCGCACGTGCAGGGTGCCGCTTCCAGATCTCGAGAACGGCTGGGCCGATTGTGCTCAAATTTGGCACATCGCTAGAGACCGGTTAGTAGGGTGCCGTGCACAAGTCAGTTGGAGGTACCCCTCGAAATTTCGCACGTGCAAGGCTCACCCTCTCGCTCGCTCCGTTAGTCGCCCCAAAAGGCGTTATACTGGTGATTAACCCTATTCCTGGCGGGGGGGGCCTCAGGAGCCCCCCCCCTGAGGTTTTTTGGTTATATCTCCCAAACGCGTTGAGCTAGGAAGCTCAAATTTTCTGACTTTTCCTAAAAGGCTTCTACGCAACATGTCTGAAAATTTTGAGTTGATCTGACCTCAGGTCAGGTCACCAGAGGCGGTTTGGTGACGCTACCTCAGAAAAGTTTGCAATCACGCCAGAGCTAGAGTTTTTGACCGATCAATTTCTTCTCTTCAGGGTTTAGTTAGGGTACCAGTATGTGCAATTTGTATATCTCGGAATTTTGATATCGGTGACCTAAGGTCAGGTCAATTTCGCGACCTCCCCATTATAAGTCAATGGGGGAAAAATCAACTCCCTGTTTTTACCACTAAAACGGGTCGGAATGGCCCCATATACCATACATGACTTCATATACGATCAACCTTCACTACCTTGAGGTCTGTTTTGCTGTTGGGCAGCTGTGAGGTCATGTGACGTCATCAAAGGTCACCAAAGGTTTTTGGCCAATAACTCCGTACAGGAACAAGATACAGACGCGTGGATGGTCTCATTGTGTTCAGCTCGTCAAGACGCATCGAATGATATACATGATGACCTCGAGGTCACGTGACCTGAGGTCAACCTTTGACCTTGACCTTTCGAGGTCAACATATATATCATTCGATGCGGATTGACGAGAGGATCACGATGATGCCCTTAGTTTGTTCCTATCTTGACTAATTCGAAAGTTATTCGAGAAAAACTCTCTCCATATCTAGTGCCGCCATTTTGACTTTTTCGACCCCTGTGACGTCATCTTTGACCTGACCTGAAAATGACCTTAGTAAAAATTGTAGATCTTGGCCGTGCGTATCCGATGCCGTTTACCGCTTGTCGCTATCTTGCTTCGTTCTCGAGATCTCAGGGGGGGGGCCGAATCGGCCCCCCCCCCCGCCAGTTTCTTGTCCCGGCGGAGCCCGCCAGGAATAGGGTTAAGATCTTGGCATATGGTCGCTTCAGTTCCGATCAGCCAGCAATGTCCAGCTGAAACTATATGATTCACGCAAACATCCCAGGATTAAGCAGCCACCTTTATCCATGAAAGCGGCTCGGATTAGCTGCGGGCCGTGTGTCGCGCGCGGAAACCCCGCTCGGACTGGACATCTGTCCTCGAGTCGGCACCCACCGCACGGTAACCCCCGCACTTTCCAGCGGCGGCGCTGTGCGGCGGCACCCGTCCCGCTCCGCGGGGTCACACTCTCGCGCTGCAGTGCGCGCCGCCGCCGCCAGGGGCGCTGACGCAGCCGGAGTACACCCGTCGGCCATCCGCGCCGCTCGCCAGTCGGCCCGACGAACCCGACCATGTTGCGTGTGCTAGCCTGCCTGTTGGCGACGGCCGCGGCCGCCGGCGCCGCCGTCATCTCGGTCACACACGACGCCGCCTCCGGCAACTACTCGGTGCACGATGGCGAGGCAGCGGGGTGGGTGGTGCGCGCCAACTTCTCCGACCAGCAGGCGGCCACGGGCTGGGCGCGCCTCGAGATCGAGGGACGGCCCTCCGAGGACGAGGACGCCGACCGGGTGATGGCGTTTGCCGCCGGCCTGGCCGAGGCGCACATCACCAGCAACATGATCGCCGACTTCATCTACAACGTGGTGGAGGACATCTGCGCCAAGCCGGCCGACAGCAGCAAGTGCGCCGCCGTCAACGAGTACTTCGGCCGCAACCTCGAGTGGACGCGGAAGAAGGTGGAGTCGTCGTCGGAGCGCGACCCGTACTGGCGCCAGGTGGGCCTGGTGCTGAGTCAGATGGACGGACTGCAGCAGGGCATCGAGGACACCATCCCCGGCGCGCGTCCGGACGCCGCGCTCTGGCTCAACGCCTTCCCGGACGCCATGGACCTCAAGATCGGTCTGCCGGTGAACAAGAAGCTGGCGGGCGCGGAGGGTCCCAGCGGCAGCGACCACTGCTCGGTGCTGGTGCGCCTGCTGCCCGAGAACGCCGACCTGCTCGTCGGCCACAACACCTGGGTCGACTACAACTACATGTCGCGCCTGCTGAAGAAGGTGACGCTGCCGTTCCGCTCCGGGGCCGAGGGCGCCGACACGGTGGCCGCGCCGACCGTGGCCTTCTCCGGCTTCCCGGGCAGCATCGCCTCTCTGGACGACTTCCACATCACGTCGGCCGGCCTGGTCACCACCGAGACCTCGCTGGACAACTACAACAAGGACCTGTGGACCTTCCTCACCACCAGCAACAGCGTCCTGCAGTGGATCCGCGTCTCCGTCGCCAACCGGGTGGCCAGCTCCGGCCAGGAGTGGCACAACGCCTTCAAACGCTACAACAGCGGCACCTACAACAACCAGTGGATGATTGTCAACTATAAGAAGTTCGAGGTGGGCGCCGAGGGCGCTGAGCCGGGCCTGCTCTGGGTGACCGAGCAGATGCCCGGTCTGCTGGTCGGCGACGACGTGACCCAGGTGCTGGCACACGCCGGCTACTGGGCCAGCTACAACCAGCCCTACTTCCCCATCATCGACGACATCAGCGGCAACAAGCGGCAGCGCGCCGAGCGCGGCGACTTCTTCAGCCACAACAAGAACCCGCGCGCGCAGCTGTTCCGCCGCGACCACGTGCTGGCCACCAACGTCACGTCGGCGCTGCGGCTGATGCGGCACAACAACTTCACCGCGGACCCGCTCTCCAGCTGTAACTGCAGCACTGGCTACTCGGCCGACAACGCCATCGCGTCGCGGCGCGACCTCAACGACCCGGACGGCACGTACCCGCTCAAGAGGCTCGGCTTCCAGATGTACGGCGCCATCGACGCCAAGGTGACCTCTGCCAAGCTAGCCGAGCGGCTCGAGTTCGTCGCCGAGGCGGGGCCGACGCACGACAGCCAGCCGGCCTTCCAGTGGAGCAGCAGCCCGCAGGCGGACACGGTGCGACACCGCGGCCAGCCCGACCGCTGGGAGTTCGCGCCCGTCGACGTCACCTGGAGCTGGTGAGCTCCGCGACAGGAACGTCCCACTCCTCATAGCGCCGTGATTGTTGTTTGTATTGTACCGTTCAAAATATGATTTTGGACAGGGTCGCTCACTGAATCCTCATTATTTTATTTTCCGTCCGACTATGGATGGTAGCATAGCTACACCGCGTCGGCAGCCACCACGTGCGTGCGCTCATTTGTTCTCCGCGCGTGTCCGCATGTGTGTGCGAGAGTTTGAGACCGAGGGTGTGAGCGTCGGCCGGCCGCCGCTCACACCGATTTATCCACCGTCCGGGCGAGCGACTGTTTGTTTTCGTTGTTGTACGGCCAGCGCACGCCACGTGCGGGGCGAGCAGTGTCAATATACAAAGCTCTGTGGTTGTGTGCCGGGAAGAGGTCGGTGCACCCACTGCTGTGATCCACGCTGCGACCACGGGTCAATACACAAAGCACTCTATTGCCGCCGAGTTTACCATCCGACGGACGCGTCAATGTTTCATGGGTCGCTATGAACCGCAGTCACTTCCTTGTAACCTGTGACAAAAACTAGTTTCAGACTCGACGCGTCTCATGGCAGGCCGCCGGCTGGAGCGTGGCCACACAGACACACACCACGGCTGCAGTGTGCGGGGACCGTGCGCGACAGCTATCAGCGCTGCCCATCGCAGTGGGTCACCGGGCGCTCTCATTAAGGTCAGTTTTTCACCAGTCACTGTGCGGGCGCGCTGAGTCGATTCCGAACAGTCCGGAGTCTGTCAGAGATCAGGTGAGATTTCAGAAGTTACTGTTCGTCTCCCCAGCCCGCCACCAGTGTCTGCGTCTCTTCGGTTGCTCATTCATGGAGAAACTCTTGGCGACGGGGATGGGCGGCGGGTGGCACACCACTTCCAAAGATTCTTGATTAACTCAAATAGATTTAGTCAACAATAGCACTTTCTTTAAAATCAACCTTAGTTTTTTCATTGATTTTCAATATGTGACCTTGGTGCTGTCCCCGCGGGCCGGCGCGCGGTCTGCATTCATCCCAACCGCTCATCGGTGACCGGGTTGGCGGCGGCGGTGTGATTAGCAGCAATTAATTTCATTTTCTTTACAGAGAGGTGCCTAGAATTAAGCGCTTGGCGCTTTTGCACCAATCTGCTATTATTTTTTCGAAACGCCTTGTATAACTATTTGTTTTCTACTTACGTTTCTCTTTTTGGTAATACGTGTTGATTAATAAACATTGTGTGTGTGTGTGTGTGTGTGTGTGTGTGTGTCTGGGGTATGCACTGCGGGCTGTGCTGTGCATACTGAGCGGCGGACACCGGCAGCGGCGCCTCTGGTTCCGCAAGGAGTCGGACGCGACTGACTCAGGGCCGCTGACTCAGGGTCGGTCACCGAGACGGCTGAGTCGCCAGACCGTGTCGGCCACTGGCCTTTCCCACAGAGATGAGATAACTATCTACAGAAGAGACAACATCGACTTCCCATCGAGGAGAAACAGCAAGTTGAAACAATACCTACTCCCCACAGAGCTAGAGTGTCTCCCCGCCGAGGAGAAAACACTTCCATAAGGAGACAGCTTTGCCTCGCCGCTGAGGAGACAGCACCACATGTCACGGCGGAGACAATATTCACCCCATGGAAACAACCGCTTCCTCCTCTTAGAGACATATCTGCCTCTCCGCCGAGGATACAACAGTAGTTCTGTGGAGACAACTCTGCCTTCCTATGGAGACATATCTGCCACCCCGTCGAGGAGACCACAGTAGTTCTGTGGAGACAACACCGCTTCCCCATGGAGATATATCTGCCACCCCGCCGAGGAGACAACAGTAGTTCTATGGAGACAACTCTGCCTCACCGCCGGGGAGACAGCAGTTATATGGAGACAACTCTGTCTCCCCGCCGGGGAGACAGTAGTTCTGTGGAGACAACTCTGCCTCCCGCCGAGGAGACAGCGCCGGTCGCTCACGGCGGAGAGCGATGACGGCCGCGAATGGGCACGGGCGCACGAGCAGACCGGGTGCCGAGCGCCGACCCGCCAGCTTTCACTAGACCGTGATCGGCAGGAGAAACGGCGATGGAAATCGGGGAGAAGATAGCGGACTCATTAACATCACGAATGTGTCACGATTCGACCGCCCAGCTGACGGTTTGTGGCACAGGTCATTGACAGCTAGCTGCGTTTGGTGTCTGCGTCCAGGTGCCAAAACAGTATAATGTGTGACTACTGACTACAGCCAGCAGTGAGTGCAGCAAGAGCCAGTTTTATGTGCCATTGGGAATACCTGCGTAGCAGGAAGCTAAGTAAACTTTATGAAAGTGTATTCAATTTCAGCCCATAGGGAACGTTATCTTTTTGGCATTTATTATTCACAAATTTCACATATAACAATGTCTTCGAGAAACTACAGGCTAAAATGATCACTGCCACAAAACCTTTCATGTCTGTCATTGCACGTGCAGGACCCACCCACGCGTTTGCTTGATTGCTCCTCAAAACTCGGCTAACTGGTTTTGCTTTACCGTGTTACTATCAAAAGGCATTGGGAAATGTTTATAACAAACTGTATGGCCCCGCACTACCTCAAAGGAATATTGTGAGGTTACGGATGCCATCTACTAATTCAATCTTCAAAACGAAGGTATATAACGATGGCTTTCAGTGTTTTGAATGAGTTTCATAGGAAAAAGGTCCAATTCCATTTTCTCATATTGCTTTAACTATGATGGAAAAGTCGCAAAATTGACCCTAGGTCAATTTTGATGGCCGTATAGGTAATGCCTAACAACAATCTGAGGTAGGTACGCTTTTCATAAAACTTTTACTTTCATCAATCCCTAAAAGTTTCAAAGCATGAATAGTTTAGCTTAAACAGCTAGGGCAAGCATTTACATCTTTCCTGAGATCGGGTCACAAAGCTTTACCCGGTGGAATGTCATTGGGTGACCGAGAGCTTAAATTTTATATCTAGTTATGGGTACGTATGTAGGTATTTTAATGTGTAGTAGTTATTTTGAAAGATATTCGTAACATAACTAAACTGACGGTGTAAAACGGCATCTTTCCTGCAACAGCGAGGGTTAATGGCAAAGTTTGCTAACGTAATGAGGCAGGTACAACTGTTAAGCAGACCAGTAAATGCTCAATTACATAACAAATGCACGTTCATGCTCTGGAGACGATGGGCCGTCTCATTAGTTTATGTAATCGCAGCCACTTATGTACCTAGGCACATTTTCCGGCGGCATCTCACCGTCATTGGGGGCGTGCACGGTAGTCCAAACGCTCCGTGCCAACAGATGTTCCCCAACAGCTGCTGGCTGCTGGCGTTGTGATAAGACCGAAATCCTATTAGGTCTATTTCAGGGAGCCTCGACGGGTCAAGCGCTGATCATGAGCGCGTTTCCGTGAGCACGTTAGGCACAGAGGCGCCGCCACAGAGTTAAACCGAACCAGCTGCTCGCCAACCGATTTAATCAGTAATCTTCAAAGCCCATCAACTCACACCGTTGCATCATAAGAAGGAACTAACGGAAAACAGGCTCGTCCCGTGAGTCAGCGCCGTTTGGTAATCGGCGTCTGCTACAATGCCAAAGACTGGTGTTCCTGACGACAACTCTAGGCCCGGCGTTCGAGTGATGAGCTCTCAGAACTGTGAACCGGTACGGTTTAGACGGCCGCGCTGTTAGTGCGCTGCCCCGCATGTTTGTCAACATTTCCTGGTGGCCGCCGGGCCCACCAGGGAGTGGAGGTACCTACAGTTACCGACCAAAAACGCAAACGGGAACGGCTAGCGGTGACATGGCGGCCTTCCCTCGCCGGACTGCCTGGTTCCTGTTTGTTGTCAACAGGTAGCGTGTAATCAAATAATGTGTTCGCATGAGGGATTTAGCGGCACAAGTCTCACGTAGGTTTATTGCCTACATATGTTACCTAGTAGCTGCAAAGTTTTTTTATGACATGCATTCCTTTCAAAGAAATGCATTTCGTTCTTACTGCTTGATAGAGTAATAGGGGAAGTTGGGGCAATGCCGGAGTTGGGGCAAAGCCGAAATTCGAGATATTTCTAAAACCGTACGACATGGATGCCACGTCTCAGTGATGCTCTGAAGCTTAAGTGACTACAATTATCGCATGTTTGTTACGAGTCGTCATTTGGAATACTTCGGCTGTGAGGGCGCCAAAAGCGTTTTCAAGGTACGTTTCCCTTGTACTACATGCGCCTTTGAAGCTGCATTTCTTACTCATTTTGCTACCGTTTGTCTGTCCAATTCGGTCAAGTAATCTTCAGCATGTCTTTGCATAAGTGTGCTGCCTATTTGAAATTTATACAGCACGTTTAAAAGTTATGGGCCTGCAAATGAAAGTATGGCTGGCTGGGGTAATGCCGAAAACGTGCAATTACGCACATTAAAGCACGCTACGTGGACTTTACTGCTGTAGAATAGCAACGCGTATTTTTAGTCAAACAAATTACACTTTCAGCCGGCACAACGGCCTGTTACCTATAAGGAATGATTTACCTGGCATTTTCTTATTATATCACACAATTATAACTTCCAGTGTGCACCAAGCGTCCTCAAGCTCTTAAAACGCGTGTCAGCTTTGATGAATTTTGGATAAAGTTTGAGATAAATTGGCAAAACATCAATGTCGGCATTCCTCGTAGATCATTTATCCCATTTTCGGCTTTCCCCGCAGTCCGGGGCAACGCCGAAAAAGTCAGTTCTTTAACACGCGCACTGCAGGGGGGGGGGGTTGTTTTCAACCCCCCCCCCCCTGTGGTTTTTCGCAAATTGCGAGAAAACGGCGGCGCCTAGCGCCGCCAAATTTTGCATACCTGTTCTCACAACTTTTGCACACCTTGAGTAAGAATTTTGACCCCAGGTGACCTATGGTCAGGTCACCAGGTCAGGTCAAGTGACCCTACCTCGAAACGTAAATTTCGAAGTTTGCAATCCCACCAAGCCCACAGTTGTTGAGATATGATCTTGAAACCCACAGGAAATAGTAAAGTCATCACGAGCTAC